TTGGGAAAGCAGCGCCGCCTGTGGCCCGGCACAGCTGGGGCCATCCTGGGAAGAGGTGGATTTCGTGTTCACCTTACAACAGGTGCAAAGCCATAGCCAGGCTGCCACAGGAGACACCAGAAAACTGCCCTAGACCCTTGGCATTCCCTGTCTAAACTGAGGCATCCCTCAAGTCTCGCCACAGTCACTCCTCTCCGGCTTCCTAGGGCTGATTGGTTTTCTCTACACTCCGCTTTTACCCCCACCTCAACCCACCCAGGCTCCCCTTCTCCCGTTCTATTCCCATCTCTGGCTCTGAGCCCACCAGGGAACTCCATCCCCACCCCTTCTAGGCCAGCCCTGGCGCCGCTCGTGATAGCGCCCCCTTATGGCTGTGTGAGGGGCCCCTCTTAACAGAACTAGGGTGCCCCCCTCCGCACCCAAAGCCAGCCCTTTCCTGTGGTGTCATCCCACACAGCCGCACACCACTAGTAACTCGCACCCACCTCCCGGCTGCGCTCCGGTCCCCTCCTGCGTTCCCAGGATGGCACTTGGCATCAGAGGGGGCTTGGGTAATGGTAAGTGGTTCCCTCTGGACTATGAGCCCCCCCTCTTTCTTCTAGCTTTCGGCTTCCAGCCATCTCACCCTTTGTGGGGGTGTTCTTGGGAAATCCATAATGGGCACATTGCCCTGAGTACCCACCCGAAAGCAGGGCTCCCCATAAAAACTGGACTAGTGACTGGCACCCCACCGAATAGCCAAATGACCATACTGCTGAGAACAAGTTAAGGTCAGAGAGGCTCCCCACTGACCCCTACCCCAAGTCCTTTCTCCGACCCAAACCTTGGCCCCTGGCCTCTCAGGTCACCTCCAAGCAACATCAAAAGGGGTCTCTGCCCAGATACAAAGCTAAGCCTCCACCACACCTCAGATACTCTACAGTTTTTGTGAGCGCCGCCCCCCCCCCCAGCCCCAATACCCAGCTGAGAGTCAGAAGAGAAGCCCAGAATATGAGAAAGAGGCTCTTTTAATTTCCTAAGCCTTTCAGGTTGGGGAAAGAGATGGGGTCTTTTCTCTCCTAGCTAAAGGGCCACCGGGCCCCAAGTCCCCCTTCCCAGGCCTCACCCTGGGCCTCTTGGCCACACCCTCTGTTCTCAGCTAGAACACAGAGTAAGGGTGGCAAAGTTCCAGGCGCACGTCCCAGGCTGGGCAGGCTGCCAAGGGGTTGGACCAGAGCTGGGCCAGCTAGGGAGATCAGTAGCAGTGCTGAGACAGGAGGAAAAGACTTAGTCCACCAGGCAGAAGGGAGCAGGCAGGGGGCCCTTGGCTGGTGGGCACACCCTCCTGAAGAAGAGCATTTTAGAACGCAGGCCTCAAAGTCAGGGTTCAAATCCCCAAGCTCCCACTTCCTGGCTGTGTGATCTTGGCCCAGAGATTTCCTTCCCTGAGCTCGCGCTTGGATAATGGGGATCAAATCTTTCCCAGGGAGGGAACACGTACCCCTCCCCCCACACACACACACACCTAGTCAACAAACCCGATTCCCCTAGGGATTACTGTGTGGCCTCCGGCAATGTCTATCACCTCTCTGAGGTGGCTTCCTAAAGCAGGAAGGTAATAATGGGTGCAGGGTGGGTATGGGGCTTACCTGAGAAGCAGCTGAGCAAGGCAGACAGAAATGGAAATGAGAGTCTGGGAACTACCACCTGAGTGACACAGGACAAGGGTGCCTCTGCTCTGAACCCCAGTCTCAATCTGAGACAGGCTGACCTCGAACTCACCACGTCGGAGGATGCCCATGAACTCCTGGCCCTCCCGTTCCCACCTCCTTAGCGCGAGCGTTGCAAGCCTGTGCCACCAACACCCTGTGTGTGTGTCGTACTGTGGGGCAAATGCCCCACCAACTGAGCTGCATGCATCTCGGGCCCTGTTTCTACCTTTGGAAAAAAAAAATTACATTTATTCATTTCTGTACCTGTGTGTGTATGGGGGGGAAGGGGTTGCGTGCTTGCCCTCGAGAGTGGGTGAGGGTCAGAGGACACCTGGCAGGAGTCAGTTCTCTCCTTCCGCCAGGTGGGTTCAGGGGATCGAACTGGTCAGGCTTGGCCCCGTTTCTACATTTCTAAAAGGGAGGTCTTCGCTTCTGCTGCATGGGATAGCTGTGAGGCTGGATTGGGGTCTCTAGTTTCTGAGGGTGCAACACACCGTCACTGTTCTTTTATTCCTTTGAAGCGTTCGTGTAACAGCTGGGTGTGTACTTGCACGCTCATAATAATACACTCGCACACACTTGCATGCATGGCTAACTGCACACGTGTTCTTGCACTTTCAGAGGCCCACAGGTTACTCCAGGGTACAAGAGACTCATAAACTTGAGCCTTTCAGGACTAACACTAGCCAATAGCCAAGCCTCGCTTGCTAAGCCTCTGACATAGATTAACTCATTTAATCTTCCAGCCACCGTAGGGATCCATCAGGTGATGCAGTCCTATGACCATAGCACTCAGGGAAGAGGCTGAGGCAGGAGGATCATAAGTTTCAGGCCTGTCTGAGCTACACAATGAGACTTTGTCCCCCAGCCCCACCTCACATGCCCCCAAACCCAAACAAACACAAACCACCCTTTGAGGAGGCGGAGGTTATTATACTGTGCCCAGGAAGGTTAAGCAACCTGCCCAAAGTCACACAGCGAATGAGCAAGGGCGATAACGGCTGGCAGAACTGGAACCCTGACCCAGAAGAGGCAGCCCCCACTCTGTCTCACAGCTAGGCCAGAGAGCCAGCGAGAGGCCCCTACTTCCCGTCAGAACATCCGGAGAACAGACGGAGAGGGAAGGAGGGTCCCTCTACAGCCACCAGCGGGCTCCTTCTATGGAGGAAGAAACCCTGCTGCCACCCTAGCCATGGAGAGTAGGATTACAGAGCTCAGCTGCCTGGGAGGTGGGGCGCCGGCCCCACCCCCACCCCACTCCCCTTCTCTCTCCCAGTTCCCTCTGTCCCAGGGCCCCCAGCTCAGTGAGGCCCGCCCACCCCCACCCTCTGGGCAGGAAGACAAACAGGGCTGGAACAGTAGAGTACAGGACGGAATGTCCTCTGGGCAGGCAGGACTGAGGCCCCTGCCCCCACCAGCCAAGAGGGAGTTCATGGGGGCGCCCCCTTGGCTCCTCCAATACTAGGCCAGCCTGCCCCCTTCAGGGCCTCACACAGCCTTGCAGCTACCTCCACCCCACCCCACCCCACCCGCACCCAGACTGAAACATTTTTTTAGCCCTCCCACCCCCAGAAGTGGCCTCTGCTCCCCGAATTAACGACTTTTAGGAAAGTGCAGCCTCCTGTCCCAGAGGGGTGGCCATCACACGTAGAAACCTCACTGACTGGGCTCAGCCAGAGACTGGTTGTGTGATCTCTTGGGCAAAGGACTCCACCTTTCAGAGCCTCGGGTTCCCCTTTGCTAAATGGGTTTAAAATTCGCCCCCTCCCCTGTCGAGCCCAGGCATAGTGACAGGCCTATAGATTTATAGTCCAAGCACTCAAGAGGTGGAGGCAAGATCGGAAGCCAAGGGTCATCCTTGGCTTGAGCTACATGAGATGCTCTCTCAAATAGCAATTGGGGGCAGCAGCACACGCCTTTAATCCCAGCTCTCGGGAGGCAGAGACAGGCAGATCGCTGTGAGTTCGAGGCCAGCCTGGTCTACAGAGTAAATTCCAGGACAGCCAGGGCTGTTACCTAGAGAAACCCTGTCTGGAGAAACCAAATAAATAAATACATAAAAATAAATAATAATAAAGTTCCCTGAGGGTCAGATGAGTGCTCATTACATGTGACAAACACACAGGGCTGGTTTGTGGGTTAGAAATCTTGTAAGCATCAATAATACTGAATATAAGACTAGATATAATATACCTTCTTTAAAAAGGAAAAAAAAAAACTCAAAAGGAGACTTATGAGTCAAGTGTGGAGGCACAAACCTATAATCCCAGCACTTGGGTGGTAGAGGCACAAGGATCAGGTGTTCAAGGCCAGCCTGAGCTACACAGGGAGACCCTGTCAAATAGACTAGGGTGTCAGATAAAGTTTGGGGTTTTGTCTGGTTGGTTGCTTGTTTGTTATTGAAATAGGGTCTCATGTAGCCCAAGCCAAGGATGACCCTAGGCTTCCTCATATGTAGACTAGGCTGGCCTCGAATTCAGAGATCTGCCTCCCAAGTGCTGGGATTGAAGGTGTGCGACATTATGCCCGGAGTTTTAAGTGGGTTTGGCACTTGGCAGGGAAAATGACCTAATAGTGAAAATGGATAATTGATAGATATTAATATTACTGGTGAAAGATCGAGATCGATCTCTCTGTCTGTCACACACACACACACACACACACACACACACACACACACACACACACACGGAAGTCAGGCATTTGAAGGGTAGAGGTACTGGGCAGAACGCAGGGGTTGGTTTGCTGTGTCACCCTTAGTGGGGCCCGGCCCCTCTGAAGGCCCCTTTGGTGTGTCGTTAGACTTTGAGATATCTCTGTGAGATTCAGCTTGGCTGGGGAGGGGACACCGGGGAGGGAAAGGAGCCTGGGAGGCTGCGGGCTCTTCGCGCTCCATCTCTCCTTTGGACTCAGGCCAGCTCTACCACCCCCTCCCACCGGGAGGCCTCCCTGTCCCCCAGGCGACGTCTCTAGTAGGGAAATGAGCTGCAGATAAGTCCTGGAGAGGACAGAAGATCTTAGGCACATATCCTGGGGGAGAAGCTTGGAGCAAGGCCCTGCAGGGAGGGCCTCATGGGCTGGGACCAAGACAGGTAAAATTTGGGGCAAGGAGAGGGGCTTCAAGGGGAGAAGCTGCCGGGGGGGGGGGGGGCAGCGATGTTGCCGGGACCCCAAGCGGAGGCGTCCCACATGTGACCTGTCGTGTGCCATTTCCTTTCCACAGGTCGAGCACGGAGCTGCGGAAGGAGAAGTCGCGGGATGCGGCGCGCAGCCGGCGCAGCCAGGAGACCGAGGTGCTGTACCAGCTGGCACACACGCTGCCCTTCGCGCGCGGAGTCAGCGCGCATCTGGACAAGGCCTCCATCATGCGCCTCACCATCAGCTACCTGCGCATGCACCGCCTCTGCGCCGCAGGTGAGCCCGGAACGCCCCGCCCCCTGCCTCCGCCCACAGCGGAGGCCCCGCCCCTGGGAAGCCTCCTCCGCCTCCCTGGCTCTAGAATCCCCTCTCCGAGCGAGGACCCGCCCTTCGAGTGCTAGACTAATCGGAGCTCTGGGCTCAGAAAGACTCCTTGGGAGGCCCCACCCCTTAGTATCTATGGGAGGCCCCTGGAGGCCTTAGGCTTGGGCTTTGGGGGAGACTAAAGTCTCTACCCCCTTAATTTTGTGTTTGTTTTCTTTTTGTTTCTTGATTTTGGGGGGTTTGGAGTGGGGTTTTTTTCCTTTTTTTTTTTTGAGACAGGATATCACTGTGTAGCTCTGACTGGCCCAGAACTTGCTGTGCAGACCAAGCTAGCCTTGAACTCACAGAGATCTGCCTGCCTCTGCTACCCACCCCCTCCCATCCACTCACCCTGCCTTTAAGTGCTGGGATTAAAGGAATGCACCACCACATCGGCAATTTATGTGTTTGTTTTCTTTTTTCCATACTGGAGGTTGAACCCAAATCAAGGGGTATGGTACCCAAGCACTCCACCAGAAAGTCAAGCCCCCAGCCCCTCACTGGGGGATTCTAGGCAGGGGCTCTACCACTGAGCCACACATCCAGCTGTCTTTTTACAGTTTTGACACAGGGTCTTACTAGGTTGCTCAACTAGTAAGAATTTGAACTAACTTGGTAGGCCAGACAAGACTTGAATTTTTGATCCTTCTGCCTCGGCTTCACATAGCCACCATGCTTAGCCAATCCTTGTCCACCCCAGGAGGCTCCCCAGGCATTATTTTAAAATTCCTGGAAGTCTCTCTTCATCCTCTCCCCTCTTCTCCTCTAGTTCAATTTCTTATTCTCTTAGCAGCCACCCAAGGAAGCGCTTGAGTGCTCTCTCTCTCTCTCTCTCTCTCTCTCTCTCTCTCTCTCTCTCTCTCACACACACACACACACACACACACACACACACACACACACACACACACACACACACACACTCAGACTCCTGAAATTTTTTCTAAAAAAATTAGAAATTTGAAAAGGTTTCATTATAGAGGGTCTGCCCATTAAATTCCCTTGCCCCATAGACTTTGGGGGAGGGGGAGTTTACGCCTTTAGAATTCTGTCAGCAGCCCTCTGACCTCCACGTGCACAGGAAATAAATAAAATGTATTGGAATTCTGTCTTCCGGAAATCCCTGACATTTTAGAATTCTGCCCATCTGGCAGGCCATCCACACCCTCCCGCCAAGAACTCTAGAAAACTCACAACTCTAGAATTCCAGGTGCCCCCAGGCCTCTTTGAAGTTCGACTCCTCAGAGAGTTCAGTCTTAGAATCTTGGGGGATTCTATGTCCCCTCTGGGAGTCCATGTTCCTGTTTCCAAAGTTTAGTGGCCTTGACCTCTTCTTTGCGACTCCCAAGCCCCTAGGATTTTCTCCCACTCGCCCAGGCTTTTCTATGAGTTCATGTGGGTGAGGAAAGATGGCGGGAAACTAGGTAGGGTGGGTCCATAGCTGATAACAGCTGCCCCGTCCTCCCCCTCCCCCTCCCCGCCGGCCTGGGCACCAGGGGAGTGGAACCAGGTGGGAAAAGGGGGAGAGCCACTGGACGCCTGCTACCTGAAGGCCCTCGAGGGGTTCGTCATGGTACTCACCGCCGAAGGAGACATGGTTTACCTGTCGGAAAATGTCAGCAAGCACCTGGGCCTCAGTCAGGTGAGCTGCCTGCTCTGTACCTGCCCCTCCCCCAGTGGGGATGCTGGGGGGACCGTGGTTCCCCACGACCTCAGTTCTTCCTTTATGAAATTCACAGTATGGCAGAGGGGAGAGAGGACCGTCACCAGACAGAATGGTCAGCGCTGTGATGGGACAGCCTAGATGTAGGAAAGAAATGTGGCGCTGAGAGGCCTGACCCAGCCTGGGAGGAGATGGACTTGGGGGGGCTGCTTAGAAGAAAGACCGTCTTAGCTGCAACCTGAATGGCTTAGCAGTGAGGATCACAAATGTACATGGCGGAGTGTTGGCACACACAAAGGCCCGGAAGTGAGACGGAAATGGAACACTTTGGAGACATGGCTAAGTGGAACATGGACAGAGGACAGTGGAAGAATTTGGGAGGGGGAAAAAAAGATCAGACAAGTTCAATAGGTCGATAACGTGTGTTCACGTGAGAAGGTTTGTCTCCAAGGCGCTGGGAGCCGTGGAAGGAGTGAAAACAAGGGAGAGGGTGTGCTAACGTGGTAGAACTGTGTTTACCGTTCAGAAAGGGAACAGAAGGACTAAAGATGAGAGGATGCGCAGCAGGGAGAGGAGACCCCTCAGGTGCGAGGAGAGGAGCTGGGCAAGCCATCTGGGGACTAGACCTAACTTTAGTTCACCTTTAGAGTAAACCCTGTATGAGAAAGTTTGTGTTCTTTTTTTTTCTCTTTCATGTAAATGGCTGTACAGTGGACCTCTGTTCCTTCTCCCTGATGCATATCCCCACTCCTGGTACCAATTTCTCTGTGAGTGTGAACTCTCAGAGCCAGACAAGTGACCGCCCCAAAGTCCCAAACTAGAAAGTGATAGAGCCAACTATCAAAGCCAGCTACAAAGGTGTTATTGGGAGAGTACTGTGTCGCCCAGATCCCACCCTGGGCACTTTTTCATCTGTGTCCCCTCCTCCTAAACGGAAACAAGTAACAGACTCTTTGACCTGCCCAGGAGGTGTGACTCACCCTTTGCGCTTGTGACTCCTGTTTTTATTTTATTTGTTTGTTATTCCTCGTAAAAGTTTACCTATTTTATGTGTATGGGGGAGACTGACTGTGGGGGAGGGTTGTGAGCACACATGCACACACTCACGCATCACGGGCATGGCATGTGGGTCCTGAATATATGTAGGTACATCATGTACGTTGCAGGTGCCCTCAGAGGCTAGAAGGGGACACTGGATCCCCCAAAACTGAAATTACAAGCAGTTGTCAGCCACCTGATATAGAGTCCTGGGAACTGAACCCAGGTCCTCTATAAGAGCAGCAAGTGCTCTTAACCAATGAGCTGTATCTTCTCCATTTTGGATTTTTTGGTTTTTTGGTTTTTGTTTTTTGTTTTGTTTTGTTTTGTTTTGTTTGGAGACAGGGGCTTACTATGTAGCCCTAAATTGCCTGGAACTCAATATGTAGACCAAGCTGGCCTGGAACTCACAGAAATCCACCTGTTTCTGCTCCCTGAGTGTTGAGATTAAAGGCATGGGTCACCTCACCCTGCATGACTTATTTTTAAAGAATTGTCTTACTCCAGAGAACTACAGACTCACTTCACTTACAATGTTGAGCTCCCTCCACCCCTTTAAAACAGCATTCCATGTAGCCCAGGCTAGATTCAAACCCACTATGTAGCCAAGGATGACCTTGAACTTCTGATCCTCCAGCCTTCACATCCCCATTTCTGGAATTATAGATACTTGACACAGTGCCCAGATGCTGTGTCTGGCATCAAATCCAGGGCCTGGTCCACACTAAGCAGGCATGCTACCAACCTGGCCACCTCTCCAGCTCAATGCATTTTTTTTTCAAACATTGCCTCCTCAAAGAAACTATTCAGGGCCACTGTCTTTAAACTAGTATCTCATTATCATGTGACCATACCCAGATGCCTCCCCAGACACACACGTGCATGCACACCGCCCAGTAAACTCTGAAAGGCAAGGATGCATCTATGATCTGTCTAATCATTTAGCAAGGGTCCTAGTAAATATTGGGTGCTGATAGCTGGTTGCTGAATGAAGGAGTGAGTGAATGAGTGACTGAGGAGGCTGATGACCTCCACCAGACGCCTGATTTGGGGCCAACACGATAAGCAGAGGACGTAGGAGCCAGCCGGGGGGTCCTGTTAAGTGTGCCTTCTCTCCACTACAAACTCTACCCTTCCCCCAGCTGGAGCTCATCGGACACAGTATCTTTGATTTCATCCATCCCTGCGACCAAGAGGAACTCCAGGATGCCCTGACCCCCAGGCCAAGTGAGTGCCCTGCAAGCCCAGACCCCACTTTTCAGGGTAGGAAACTGACCCAGCCCTCCTCTCCCTGATCTGGAACACCTGCATAGAGAAAAGTGGAGAGAACTGGCTATGCCCTGAGTGCTCCCTTCCTTGAGTGCTCCCTTCCTTGAGTGCTCCCTTCCCTGGGGACTCCCTTTCCTGGGGACTCCCTTCCCTGGGGACTCACTTCCCTGAGGCCTCCCTTTCCTAGGGACTCCCTTCCCTGAGGACTCCCTTCCCTGGGGACTCCCTTCACTGAGGACTCCCTTCCCTAAGGACTCCCTTCCCTGAGAACTCCCTTTCCTAGTTCCCGCCCCAGCTTTGGAGATGAGGCTGGGAGACTTTAAGATTTTATTTTTGCCAGATGTAGTGGCACATGCATTCAATCCCAGCCCTCGAGAGGCAGAGGCAGGAAGATCTCTGTGAGTTCGAGGTCAGCCTAGTCTACATAGTGAGTTCCAGGACAGCCAGAACTACAGAGAGACCCTGTCCCCCCAAAAAAATAGAAAAGGAAGGAAGGAAAATTTTATTTTTATTTTCTTTTTTGGGGGGGGTGGGGAGACAGAAGGGATGATATGATCATGCATGTGAGTGCAGGTGACTTCAGAGGTCCGAAAGTGGGTGGTTGTGAGCTGCCTGACATAGATTTTTGGGATCCAAACTCGGGTCCTCTACAAGAGTAGTACCCACTCTTAACCGTTAAGCCATCTCTGAGGCTGGGGAGACTTTAACATTCACTTAGTGGCATGTCCCCTCCCTGTGCCTTCCCAGGCCTGTCCAAGAAGAAGCTGGAAGCCCCCACAGAACGCCACTTTTCCTTGCGCATGAAGAGCACACTCACCAGCAGAGGGCGCACGCTCAACCTCAAAGCTGCCACCTGGAAGGTAGGCTGGGCCTTGTCTCAATGGGGTGGGTCTGACCCCTGAAGATCTCACTCCCTATTGGATTTGGGGTCTCACGGGCTCAGAGATTTGCTGGAACTCCTTCGGACTGAGTCGATAGGGTATTAGAGCGCCTATGAATTGAGTTTCCCGGCGCCAGACATTGAGGATGGAAAAGGTCCTCCGCCTCCTGAATTAAGTTTCCCGAGGGTTGGAATGAGGATCCCAGAGCTCCTCACGACTTTCTAAAATAATCAAGGATCTTTTCTCCCTATGAGACCTAGACGCAGGTCTCCCAGCCCCGTGGGGAGCCTAAGGCTAAGATGGGTACTGACAACGCCCCACTTCACCTAAAGGTGCTGCACTGCTCAGGACACATGAGGGCCTACAAGCCTCCTGCACAGACGTCCCCCACCGGGAGCCCTCGCTCCGAGCCTCCCCTGCAATGCCTGGTGCTTATCTGTGAAGCCATCCCCCACCCAGCCAGTCTGGAGCCCCCTCTGGGCCGGGGGGCCTTTCTCAGCCGCCACAGCCTGGACATGAAGTTCACGTACTGCGACGAGAGGTAGGCAGTGGCTTTGTGCAGGACCACACCCATCCACCATCTCCTCTGGTTGGTTTTGCCCCAATATTCATTCTCTCTCTCTCTCTCTCTCTCTCTCTCTCTCTCTCTCTCTCTCTCTCTCTCTCTCTCTCTCTCTCTCTCTCTCTCTCTCTCCCCCCCCCCACCCCCCGGCTCTCCTCCCTTCCCCCTCGCCTTAAATGTCTAACCACCTTCTGAGGGAGGGGATTACAGGCGAGCTGGGGATGGAACCCAGGACTTTGTGCATGCTAGGAAAGCACTCTGCAGACGAAGCTACGTCCTCAGAAGCAGTGACTCTAGGTTCTGACTTCTTGGGCTTCCACCCTGGGTCTGTAACATTGACCAAGTGACTTCATCTCTCTGCCCCTCAATGCCCTCAGCTATCCTGTAAGAGAACAATGTCCCCCTGTCTTTTACCCCTGCTCTCAGTACTCCTGGCCTTGCATAGGGCAAAGTACAATGCAAGTGTCTCGTTTTTCAGTCTATATCCATTTTCATTCTTCCTTTTTGGAGTTTCTGCTCCATCTTCATGCTTCTTTCACATCATTTTCTTTATCTTCTCTGCCTCTTCATTTTCCACCTTTCCTACACACACACACACACCATATTATTTTCTTTTTTCACTTACTTATTTACTTATTGTTGTGGTACAAGGGGTGGAATGCAGGTCCTCACACATGCTTGGCAGGTGTGCTACCACTGAGCCACACACCCCAGCCCCTCACTGGGGAATTCTAGGCAGGGGCTCTACCACTGAGCCACACCCCTCAGCCCCTAGAGAATTCTAGATTCTACCACTAAGGCATGCCTTAAGCCTTTGGTTTTTTTGAGATATGGCCTTGCTGAATCTCAAGCCTCAAATTCACAATCTTGCCTCAACCTCCTGAGTGCTGTTATTACAGATCACCACACTCTACTCTCTTTCTCTGTTTCTTAACACCCCCCCCCCCCCCCCGCCTTTCTGTTGCTGCCCTGTCTCTCATCTCGCTGTTGTTGACACCTGCCCATTCCCTCCATCTGGGCCTTGACCAGTACCTCTCCGTTTTACTCCAGGATCGCAGAAGTCGCTGGCTACAGCCCTGACGACCTGATTGGCTGTTCTGCCTACGAATACATCCATGCACTGGACTCCGATGCAGTCAGCAGGAGCATCCACACTTGTAGGTGACCAACATGTCCCCAGGCCAGAGCCAGCTGCTGCATGGCCCCACCTAACAGCAATCCCTGGTCTCCTAAACAGAAAGCCCAGGGCTTTGTGGGACTCCTGCCTCCCCCTGAACCCCAAATGCTAGGGCCTGCATTTTTGTCTTCAGTGACCTCTCATTCCTAATTCCAGCTTCCTGAGCTTTCTGTCCCCAAGTGTCTCTGCTGTGACCCTGACCCCTATCCATCCTATCCCCAGTGCTGAGCAAGGGCCAGGCAGTAACGGGGCAGTATCGCTTCCTGGCCCGGACCGGAGGCTACCTGTGGACTCAGACTCAGGCTACAGTGGTGTCAGGGGGACGGGGCCCCCAGTCAGAAAGTATCATCTGTGTCCACTTCCTGATCAGGTGAGCAGAGGGATGTAGTGTGTGTGGAGGGATGCATAGGCAGACCTGTGCATTGTGCATGCATAAGGAAGTGTATATGTGTGCCTGTGTGGAATACATATGGCCATAGGAATATGCATTTGGATCTCTCTGTGTATATGTTTTTGTTTTGTTTTTGTCTTTGTGTTTTAGAGACAGGGTTTCTCTAAGTGGCCTTGACTGTCTTAGAACTCTATGTAGACCAGACTGGCCTCAAACTCACAGAGGTATACCTGCCTCTGCCTTCCAAATGTTAGGATTAAAGGTGTGTACCCCCGGGCCCTTTGCTAATTTTTAAAAAAATTTATTGGTGGTAGTTCTGTGGGCTGGAGAGATGGCTCAGCGGATAAGAGCACTGGCTGTTCTTTCAAAAGGACCTGGGTTCAATTCCCAGCACCTACATGGTGGCTCACAACCATCTGTAACTCCAGTCCTAGGGAATCGGGCACCCTCTTCTGTGGGCACTACACATACATGGTGCACAGTCATATAGGTAGGCAAAGCATCCATACACATAAAAGTAAGTAAATATATATTTTGCTGGACGGTGGTGATGCACGCCTTTAATTCCAGCACTTGGGAGGCAGAGGATCTGTGTAAATTCAAGACCTGGTCTACAGAGCGATTTCCAGGACAGCCAGGGCTGTTACACAGAGAAACCCTGTCTCAAAAAACAAAACAAAACAAAACAAAAAAGTGTATTGGTGTTTTGAGATAGAGTCTTATGTAGTGCAGGCTGGTCTCAAACTCACAGCAAACTTCCTGCCTCGGGCTCTCGAGTGCTAGGATTACAAATGTAAACCACTAGGTCCAGACCAATAGTTCCTTTCTCATGGTAACTAGTGGTCATTGGAGAATGAATGGACCAATGTTTATTTATCCATGTGCCATCTGGGGGACTTTAGGCTGTTTCCTGTTTAGGGGGATTATACAAACAGCCATTATAAACATTCTCAAGTGGGATTTTGTGAGAATGAACATTTTCATTTCTCCTGGGTAAACATCTAGGAGTGGAATGGGTGGGTCATATGTTTCCATGAAAATTTAACTTTCTAAGGAACTGAAAAAACTGTTTTCACAGTGCTGTGTCATTTTGCATTCCCTTTAGCGGTTTATGTGACTTTCAGTGGTCTCCATCCTTGCCAACATGTCATATTCCTGCATATTTTCACTTTAGGAATTCAAATTGATAAAATTTGGAGTAGAGTACCTGCTTAGAATGACCCACAGAGGAACTGGGGAAATGGCTGGGGGCCGGGAGTGGGATGGGGAGCTGAGCTCTGTCTGCATAGCATCTCTCAGAGAGCAGCTGGGGGCATGGCTCAGTGGTAGAGCCCCACATAGAGTCCACAAGTGAGGGGCTGGGAGTGTGGCTCAGTGGTAGAGCCCCTGCCTAGAATCCCCAGTGAGGGGCTGGGGGTGTGGCTCAGTGCTAGAGCATTTGCCTAGAGTGCACCAGTCCAGAGACATTCAGTCACATGTTTAAGGCCACACAGCTCAGAAATGGCAGAGCTGAAATTTGAACCCAAGCTGGTAGCTTCAGAGTCCTTGTTATCAACCTCTGTGTAGTGATGCTTCACTGAGAGGTGTTTGTGGAATGAATAAATGAATGAGCTCCATGTGGCCTGTATGCACATATTTGACACCAAATACATGGAGGTTTTTGTGTGTGTTCTTTTCCTCTAAATACTTGGGTGTCTACAGGCATTCCTCTCTGTCTGTGGGTACCGAGTGTGTGCTGTGTCACTGTGGACATTCTGTCCTCCAAGGGGATAAAGGTGGCTGTCTTAAACTGGAACGTCCCCAGGACAGGTTTAGTGAGGGTAGAGTCATAACTTCTGCGTTCTGCCCTATGGGATTGCTTATGCTAATGGATGCAAATGAATGCATGGTCCTCAACCTCAGACCCACTCCCCCAAAACCAATTTACCCAGCCAGCATTTGAGTTGTCTCCAGAGCCAGAGACTGTGGGATGGGAGGTGCGGGGGACAGAAAAAGGATGTATTTATAAACCTGTTCCCTTGAGGATGGAGATGTCTATGAATAGAAGCTTCTTAAATAAATGCTTATTCATAGAAACGTAGCTATGAATTCTTCATATTTGGAAATGTAATGAAGAATATGGTTCTTTTTTCTTTTTTGAGACGCAATTTTCTATAGAGCAGACCAACATCCAATTCACTATGTAGCTGAGACTGATCTTGAACTCCTGACCTTCTTGCTTCTGCTTCCTAAATCTTGGGATTATAGGCAGCAGCCATCAAGCCCAACAAGTTCTGTTTTGTTTTGTCTTGTTGAGACAGGGTCTCATGGTAGCAGCTCAAGCCAGCCTCGAACTCTCAAACTTCCTGCCTCAGCCTCCCAAGTACCAGAAGGTATGCTGGCTCCACCACTCCAGGCTTTAAAGTTTCTTTTCAACACCACTGCAGGAGCTAGGGACATAGCTCAGTGGAGGAGGGTTTGCCTAGCAAGAATGAGGTCCTGGGTTCAATCCCCAGCCCAACAGACAAACCCATAAATACATAAATGCCATTACAGATTGAGTCTCCCTTATGCTAAATGTTTGGGAGCAAAAGCATTTCCGAGGGGCTAGGGACGTAATGTAGCTCAGTTGGTAGAACACTTGCCTAGCATGCACAGAACCCAGCGTTCCACCCCCAGACCCCATAACCTGAGCAGGGTGGTATGTGCCTGTAATCCCAGCACTCAGGAGGTAAAGACGGGAGAATCAGAAATTCAAGGTCAGCCATGGCTACTTAACGAGGCTGAGGCCGGCCTGGGCTACACGAGACTCATCTCAAAACAAACAAAATAAATCCTGGTGAGAAAGCAGTGTGGGAGATTGTTTCCTGGCAAATCCCCTTCAGTTTCTAGGTGATGTGGCCTCTGCAGGAAGACACTGGAAGCAGCCGCCTGGGAGGCAGGTGGGTGGGCACGGATACTCGATGACTCCTACTTTTCTTTCTCCCCGCCCCGCTCCCAGCCGGGTAGAAGAGACAGGCGTGGTGCTGTCCCTGGAACAAACGGAGCAACACACTCGCAGACCCCCTCAGCGGGGTACCTCCTCGCAGAAGGGTATCCCTGGCAACGGTCTAGGTATGGATCAAGGCCATGGTGTCTTCAGGACCCCTAGAGGAAAGGTCAGAGGCATTCGCGTGGTTCACAAGACCCCGTGGGACCGGCTGCTGCCTCTCTCCCCTTGACCACGCACCCACCAAGCCACACCGATTTCCTCTCAGCTTTCGGGACACGCCGCACTCCTTTTTTTATTCACTGCCTTTCCACATGCAGTTCCTCTGCTTAGAATGCTTTTCCCTGCAGTCCTCCCTGTATCCAGGAGTGCCATGATCGCTTGAGTTTCCTGTCTCCTCTTCCTCCGCTGTCCTTCCCTAGGCTCACACTTCCCTACTCCTTGTCGGGGAGGGGGTCTCCAGCCAGTCCCAACACACAGGAATGGAATGGCCAGATGCTGTTCACAGCCCCTAGGCCCTTCCTCAAGGACCCTCCAGGGCGCCACGGCAATCTGACTATGAAATGGCCTAAAATGCGGCCCTCCGGCCACTCCTCTCCAGCAGTAAACACAATGGCCATCTTCACGTGCTGTTGAAGATGTAACCGTCATCCTCTAGGCTGAGCACAGCAGAGCAGGGGCTGGCCCTCGGCCCTGTGTAATCTCACTGTGTTCCCTTCATCCTGCAGACCCACCTGCCCCCCGGATCCTGGCCTTCCTGCACCCTCCGGCCCTGAGTGAGGCCTCCCTGGCTGCTGACCCTCGCCGTTTCTGTAGCCCAGACCTGCGCCGCCTCATGGCACCCATCCTGGATGGGCCTCCCATAGCCACCACCCCCAGCACCCCACAGGCTACACGGAGACCCCAAAGTCCTCTTCCGGTAAGCAGTGCCACCTCTCCCAGCATACAGAACCTGTGCTGCTCCGGCCTCGGGCTTGAGCCTTGCTGTTCTCTGTTTTCAATTTCTCCATCTTAGGGATGAGATGGGGTTTCTCTAAGACCTAGGTTACAAGATAAATATGGTGGCACACACCCATGATCCCAGTACTTGGGAAGCTGAGGCAGGGGGCTTGAGTTTAAGGCCAGCCTAAGCTACACAATGAAACCTTGCCTCAAAAATATCAGAACAGCCAAGCATGGAAGTGCACTCCTGCAATACCAGCACTTGGGAGGCTGAAGCAGGGAGAGTTCAAGGCCAGCCTGGAACAAGATCTTGCTTTAGTTTTCCTTTCTGTTGCCGTGATAAAGTGTCATGACAAAGGGAGCTGGAGAGATGGCCCAGTGGTTAAATGCTTACTCTTGCAGAACACCAGAGTTCAGTTCCCAGCATCCACACTGGATGGCTCACAACCACCTCTAATTCCAGCTCCAGAGGATCCAACACCCTCTTCTGGACTCTGTGGGCATCTGCACTCATGCGCACATGTGCCTGCATACGCGTTCACAAGTGTGCACACGTGCGCACACACGCACACACACACACACACACACACCCTCAGAAAAGAAACTCCAGGGGGGAAAGGGTTTATTTTGACTTGCACTTCTGGGTTTTATTTTATCATTGCAGGAAAGTCACAGTGGGAGGAGCATGAGACCATAGGTCATATCACATCTGTAGTCAGGGGGCAGAGAGGAATGAATGCATGTTCCCTTGTGCTCAGCATCATTTCTCCATTCTTAGGCAGTTCGGGACCCTTGACTAGGGAATGGTGTCACCCACAGTGGACTGGGTCTTCTTGCATCAATATTAAGTTTGTGTGTGTGTGTGTGTGTGTGTGTGTGTGTGTGTGTGTGTGTGTGTTTGTCTACATGTACGTATATGCACAGCATGTGTGCCTGCTTCCTGTGGCAGTCAGAAGAGGGCATCAGATGCCCCAGAACTGGAGTTATTGGATGGTTTTGAGCCACCACGTGAATGCTAAGAATCAAACCTGGATCCTCTGGAAAAGCAACAAATTTTCTTAACCACTAAGCAATTTCTCTAGCCCCTGCCTCCATGAACTAAGATGATCACCCACAGACATATCCACAGGCCCACTCAATATGGACAATCCTTCTTTCCAGCTGATTCTAGGCTGTGGCAAGTTGACCAAGCTAACCATCACAGACCCTGCCTCAAAATTAAATGAATGAATGAATACAAGAATGATGAGACACACCTGTAATCCCAGAATTTGGAAACTAGAGGCAGGAAGATCCTAAATTCTAAGTCATCCTCAGCTATATTGTGAATTCAGGGGTCACCTTGGACTATGTGAGACAATGTCTCAAAAAAATAAAACAACCACCACAAAAACAAGCAAGCAAACCAACAAAAACACCTTTGTTTACACTGCTATTTGACCCCCTGCAAGCTCTAAGACCCCCTACCCCTCCCCCAAGATCTTACGGTCAGCACTTCCAGACTCAGTCTCCTGTGTTTCTGCTCTGTTTCCCTCCAGGCTGATCTCCCAGATCAGTTGCTTGGGGGCTTAGAGAATGCATGCAGACTCTCCACTGCCCGGAAAAACAAGACTGTGGAGACAGATCTAGATAAAGCTCAGGTGAGGACTGGCATGGAGGGGGTCACCTTATCTGGCTTTACAGAAGGGTGGTGGGATGGATGGATGGATGGATGGATGGATGGATGGATGGATGGATGGATGGACGGACAGATGGATGTCTGTGTGGGTAGATGGAGAGAGAGAGAATTGGATAGGTAAACTATTGTTTCATTGGCTGGGCATGGGAAATGGAAGACAGAAGGATGGAGAGGGAGACAGAAAGAAATGAGAGACAAAATGACAGAGCTAGAAAGGTAAGAGAGAGAGGCAGTGGCAGAGAGACAGAGAAACAGGCATCCAGATAGAGACAGAGAAAGACAGTGATGGGGGGCAGGGGGTACAGAGACTTGGAGAGACACGGAGACAAAGAAAGGGAAAGATGGAAGGAGACGGAGAAGGACAGACAGGGATATAGAAAGATAGGGGTTAAGAAGAGATAGAGATGAAGAAGGGGGAGAGACAGACACACAGAAAGGAGACAGACAGAGTGACAGAGAGTGAGAGACAGGGACAAAGAATAGATACAGAAACAGAGTGCAGAGATGGAAAGACAGAGCTATGGGCAGAGCTGGGGAGACATGGTCAAAACCACAAAGACACAGCTGTTGTTGTTTGGTTTTGGCCTTTTTGGGGGGCCCCCGCCACCCAGCTCCCAAATAAATCACACACGGAGGCTTGTTATTACTTTTGAATGGCTGGCCTTAGCTTGGCTTGTTTCTTGCCAGCTTTCCTTAACTTTAAATTATCCTGCTACCTTTTTGCCTCTGGGCTTTTCCTGTTCTCCTACTCCGTGGCTTGCTGTGTATGCAGCTGGGTGGCTGGCCCCTGGAGTCCTCCTCCTTCTCTGGCTGCTAGCTCTCCGCTCTCCTCCATCTCTTTTCTTCTTTTATATCAACTGTCTGCCTGCCAGCCCCCACCTTATCCTTTCTCCTGCCTTGCTATTGGCCAGTTCTTTATTAGACCATCAGGTGTTTTGGACAGGCACAGTAACACAGCTTCCCAGAGTTAAGCAAATGCAACATAAACAAAAGTAACACACCTCAAAGTAATATTCCACAACACACAGCAGGAGATAGACACACAGAGACAAAGACAGAGTGACATAAATGACAGTGGTCACTGGTATCGTGCCTTACAGTTAAATGGGAAAGACGGGCAGCATCATGTCCTTTTAACCCCAGGCTGTAGCTAAGTTTTCCTGTCTGGCCCACAGTCAGGACAAATCTCTCTCACCTGCCAGTCCCACAACCGCTCAGACCCGACCAAGTAAACACAGGGACTTATATAGGTTTCAAACTGTATGGCCGTGGCAGGCTTCTTGCTAACAGTTCTTACAGCTTAAATTAATCCATTTCTATTAATCTATACCTTGCCATGTGGCTTGTGGCTTACCAGTACTTTACATCTTCCTTGTCATGGTGGCGGCTGGCAGTGTCTCCCTCCCCCAGCTTCCTGTTCTCTCAATTCTCCTCTCTGTTAGTCCCATCTATACTTCCTGCCTGGCCACTGGCCAAATCAGTGATTTATTTATTGACCAATCAGCAACACATCTGACATACAGACCATCCCACAGCACTTCCCCTTTTCTTTTCTTAAAAAGGAAGGTTTTAACCTTTATACATCTCCAAAGTCAGCTTGGTATATTTGGGAATTTGGGCGTAGCTTCTCTTACTACTTCCTGCTGGAGGGGGGCGCTGTATCTTATGGGGACACAAAGAATATTTTAGGGTTATGAAGTAGTCCATGAGGGTGTATTGTCTGAGCCAGTTGTCTTGAAACGGTTCTGGATGTTGGATCATCTGGGCCATGGTGTCATCGGAGACCTTTCAGGTGGTCTTGGCTGGTCAAACCTGATGTGTCTTAATCTGGAACAAATCCATAGCCTCTGGCTTTCTGTGGAAACAAAAGCAGAGCCTCCTTTCCAAAGCAACATATCCTTACATCCAAATTTTGAAGTCAAGGTACCTTTAAAATATACATTTTGGCATAACTCAACAGCTTTTGTAATCAAATGGTTTTTTTTTTTTTAGTTACAAATATCAAAGAGAACATAATACAGATTCTCTGTGTGGTAGCCATCTTTACGTGGCTTATTTTTTTATATTAGCTTGAGCCTATTGCTTTGAACTGTAGCCTTCTAAGCCTGAAACGGCGCTGACGCTGCTGGCTCCGCCCACTTCAGCTTCCCAACATGGCGGTGATACGTTTTCTGCCAGCTCTGGAAGCCATCAACTCTCAGAAATAGTGGGTCTATGCTTCTATCAAAGCAGCGTGTAGCCCAGAAACCTCTTTTTTTTGTTTTGTTTTGTTTTGTACTAGCAAAGGCTAAATCCACCACACAGCTTAATGTGCCACTTGCAGAGGCCTCATTCCCACCATACTGCAGGTCGAGCGCGCACACCAGAAACCCACAAGTAGCTCAAACCGGCAGCTGCCGCTCATTTGAGAGAGACAATTAGGAAGCTGTTTTTAGCTCTTTTTTTAGGTTTTAGGTGGAAACTCTTGCCCCACGTTGGACGCCAAATGTAGATGTATCCAACCTTCTTATTAAATAAGAAACACAGAACCAATGCAAAGAAGAAAGCCAAGAGGTCAGAGCTAAGAGCTAAAACCTTACCCTTCCTCCTGCGGTGGTCCTACCTCTCCGAACCAGAGCTACCCCTGTGTTAAAAGTCTTTATATAGAGTTCCTGTCCTGCCTTCTCATTGGTTGTAAACCCAACCACATGACCGCCTCCTCACGGCCTGTCTGTATAGGCCTCCAGGTTTTCCATGATTGGTACTAAGATTAAAGGCATGTGTATCCAATAATGGCTGTATCCCTGAACACATAGAGACTTACCCAGTTCTGCCTACCAAGTGCTGGAATTACAAGCGTACGCCACCACTGCCCTGCTTTCCTATGGCTTGCTAATAGCTCTGACCCCCGGGCAACTTTATTTATTAACATGCAAATAACATTTTAATACAAACAAAATATCACCATACCAGGCCACCTGACTGATCTCTGTGGAAGGGGACTGTACCCAAGGAGAATCACTGCAGCACCTTAGGAACTGACTGCCACACAGTCTTTGTACCTATTTGAGAGAAAATAGGTACAAAGGGCAGGAAAAACTTAGCGCTTCAGGCGAGCACCTCAGAGGAGTTAGCACCCAGCCCCCAGCCTAGGACCCTCCCCTCCCCACCCTCAGGCCATGGCTCCTGCTGTAAACTCCCTCCTACCCCCTTCCAGGACCCTGACACTCTGGACTTGGAGATGCTGGCTCCCTACATCTCCATGGATGATGACTTCCAGCTCAACTCCTGCGAGCAATTGCCCAGAACCCACCGCAGACCTTCCAGGGTGGCCCGCAGACCCCGTGCTCGGAGCTTCCATGGCCTGTCGCCCCCCATCCCTGAGCCCTCCCTGCTGCCCCGCTGGGGGAGTGATCCACGACTGAACTGTTCCAGCCCCTCCAAGGGGAACCTTCCCACAGCCTCCCTAATGCCTGGAACTCGGAAGAGGTGAGCCACAGTGAAAGCGGGGCTTAACACAGGCATATAGAAGACCCTTGCTCACTCTCCTGCATCAGCCCCATCCCTCAGCATGCTTCCTGTCTCCACCTCTCCAGCCAGGCCCTCCATGTTCCCAGCATATGCCAGGTTTGTTCCAACCCTTACCTGGAGGCCCCTCCACTGCTCTCACCATTTACCCAAATCCCACTGCAGCCAGGAATCAATCCCACATTTACACCTGACTTATTGACACTTTTTGTTACAATAAGAATAAATTGGCCGGGCGGTGGTGGCGCACGCCTTTAATCCCAGCACTCGGGAGGCAGAGCCAGGCGGATCTCTGTGAGTTCGAGGCCAGCCTGGGCTACCAAGTGAGTTCCAGGAAAGGCGCAAAGCTACACAGAGAAACCCTGTCTCGAAAAACCAAAAAAAAAAAAAAAAAAAAAAGAATAAATTGGGGCTGGGAATATAGCTCTTCAGTAGAGAACTTGCCTAGAATCCACCAAGCACCTGCCTAGAATCCCCTAGTGAGGGACTTGGGGGCGTGGCTCAGTGGTAGAGCACTTGCCTAGAGTCTCCCAGTGAGGGGCTGGGGCGTGGCTCAGTGGTAGAGCCCCTGCCTAGAGTCCCCCAGTGAGGGGCTGGGGCGTGGCTCAGTGGTAAAGCACTTGCCTAGCATCCCCAATGAAGGTTTGGGGATGTGGTTCAATGGAGGGCAGTTATCTAAAATCCACCAGTCCAGATACATTCAGTCACTTGTTTAAGGTCATGTAGCTCAGCCTCTCATTAGGGGATTCTAGATGCTCAACTACTGAGTCGTACTCCCAATCCCCTCACTGATGGGTTCTAGGCATATTCTCTAGTACTGAGCTATATTGCCATTGTAGGGAAATGGATGGATGGATGGGTGAGTGGGTGGATAGAGAGATGGGGAAAAGAATCAGTGGATGGGTAGATGGGTTAGGTAAATGGATAAGTGAATAGATAAAAATTATCAATAGATGCATGGATGGGGGGCTGGAAGGTGAATGGGTGGTTAGATGGATGGATGAATATGTGGGTGGAGAGAAGGATAATGGAAAAGTCAGTGGATAGATGAATGAATGGCTAGGTGGATCTTGAAAGGGTGAATTAATCAGTAGAAGAATGGAAGTATAGATGAATCACCAGATGGATGAATAAATGAAAGATAGAATGATAGCTGAATGAGTGAATGAATGAATGTATACATGAATGAATGAGTAGACAGGTAGGTGAGTGGATGGGTGGATAGGATGAGTGAGTAGGTGGGGAAAGGAATACACAGATGAATGAATGGATAGACAGGAGGGATGGGGAGAAGGTGAATGAGAAGGTTCATTGTACGGAAACTAATAAGTCACAGTGCAGATGAATGAGGTACGGTTGGTGAATGAGAAGGTTCATTGTATGGAAACTAATAAGTCACAGTGCAGATGAATGAGGTATGGTTGGTGGGTGGATGGGTGGATAGGTAGGCATGTATGTAAAGGACTGAACGGTTGTTTGGGAAGGTCATCAGCTTCTGACACGGGTACCCACACTTGCCCAGGTTTGATGTATTTTGAGTCTTGTCTGTGTCTCTGCAGGGCCCTGGCCCAGAGCTCAGAGGACAAGGGGGTGGAGCTGCTGGAAACAAAGCCCGCCAAGCGGTCCCCCAGCCTCGAACCTGGAAGCTTCCTGCTGCCTCCCCTCAGCCTGGTAGGTTTAGAGAGTTGAGGGTGGGGGTTCTGCAACCCTCTGAACCTAGCAGGTTTCAAACCTCCTGTTTTATAGATGGGAAAACCAGAGAGGGCCAGGGGCGGGCTGAAGGTCAGAGGGGAGGTCAGTGGTCCAGCTCCAGACAGGACCTTGATCCTCCAAGTCTGCTAATGAGCTTGAAATGACTTTGCAAATAGATGGCTAGCACCAGACTCGAAGTAGGCCAAGAGGAGTGAGGCAGTTCGTCAGATGAGGAGGAGTCTTCTCTGTTTCCATGGTCCCCCTCCAAAACGAGGCAGCCTCGGATCTGGAGGACCACTGCAGAGTTTAAAGAATAAACATTGAGTGTGGTGGCCACGCCCATAAGCCCAGCCCCAGAGAGACTCGGGAGGATGAGCAGATGGAGGTCAGCATGAACTACATAGTAAGACCCTGTCTCAAAAAACAAAGCAAGAAAAAAAGACCTATTGTGCACAACAGCAAAATCTGGTTTCTTTCATAATGCTTCCCTGGATTGTATGACTTCCACAATGCCTCTGTCTAATACCTCCCTATCTCCCAAAGAACTCAGCTCCAGAGTCTGCACAAACTGTTTGAATATGAACGGTGTGAGTGGTAGTATCAATAGCTTTCATTTACTTTGTGCTGATCCTGGCCACATGAAGTACCTCACAATGTTAACTTATTGATTCCTTATGAGTACACTTTAATATTATTTAATAATAATAAATATCGCCAGGCATGGTGGTGCACGCCTTCAATCCCAGCACTCAGAAGGCAGAGGCAGGTGGATCTCTGTGGGGTGTTTACCCACCAACCCCACAGCTCCCCAGAGTTTTCTTGAGTGTGAGCAGCAGGAAATATGAGATAGAAGGATTTATATTGCAGAGGATATTGCGGAGATAAACAGATAGAAAATAAAGGCTAGCCTCAAGAGGGCCTGGAACCTATTCCAACGGGCCCTGACTGTCTCTTCCCCAGGGTTTTTATAGAGACGCCAAGGGGTGGAGCAAAAGACCTCCTCCCCCAGCACAGCCAAGTGCAGACCATCCCAGACACCTGCACTCATGCCCATGGTCTAATCATCCTCTATGCGGACCTGCTGGGTAAAGCCACAAGGAACCTGAAAACAGGCTCCCACAGATCTCTGTAAATTTGAGGCCAGTCCGATCTACAGAGTGAGTTTCAGGGCAGCCAGGGCTACACAGAGAAACCCTGTCTCAATCAGTGTCATTATGGTGAGACAGTTACACACAGAAGTTAAGCAACATTATCAGTGACTCTAGATAGCACACTTAGATGGGGTGCTGAGAAGAATTTAATGACAGGATTGTCAATGGTGTGAGTACAGCATCTGCAAGTCCACAGAGCTGCTATAACATTGGGGCCAGCACTATCCCTACCCTTTAAGGCCTAACACCTTCCAGAGTAGGACACAGTCAACCCACCACAGCCCAGCAGGGAGGCAACTAGAACGCCACCTTCCTCCTCCTACACCTGCTAGGGTTGCCCATCATCTGAGTACAGCAGGAAAACACAGCAAAATTGCACAGCAATGGGGTCAGCCTCTTGGGACACAGAGGCAGGGAAAGGAAGGAGGACCACCCAGAGGGTATCTAGAACAGTGATTTCTAGTACTCACCAGACTCCAGTTAACCACTGCACCATACTGTCTTGTCAGATATGTGGTGGTGGTGGTGGTGGTGGTGGTGGTGGTGGTGGTGGTGGTGGTGGTGGTGTGGGGTGGTGGTTGGGATGATGATGATGCTGTTGATAATATTGATGGTGGTGATGATGCTGATGAGGGTGATAATACTGATGGTGATGATGTTGATGAGAATGATAATACTGATGATGGTGATGCTGATGAGAATGATAATACTGATGATGGTGATGCTGATGAGGGTGATAATACTATGGTGATGATGTTGATGAGGGTGATACTGATGGTGATGATGCTGATGAGAGTGATAATACTGATGGTGGTGATGCTGATAACAGTGATAGGGGTGATGCAGATGGGGCTGATGATGTTAAAGATGCTGTGCTGTTGTTGATGCTAATCATGCAAATAGTGATGCTGCTGCTGATGGTGATGATGTCATGGTACTGGTAATGACATTAATGGTGATACTGATGTTGATGCTGTTCATTCTAATGATGGTGATAATGACAACTCTGTCTCCCTAACTTCCCAGAGTTTCCTTCTGCAAGGTCGACAGTTCCCAGGGAACCAGCAGGATCCCAGAACCCCACTCTTAGATTCCCGTGAGCCCTTGGGTAAGTCACAACAGCCTGGATATGCAGAAACTTCAGGTCCCTTCTCCTCTGGATGGTTCCACAAATGATTAAGAGAAGAATGGAACCGTCTTAGGAGTAGGTGAAGTTAAGTAGGTGTCTTAGGGTTATATGCTGTGGTGAAATATCATGACCAAAAGCAACTTGGAGAAAAAAGAATTTATTTCACTTCCACTTCCACATTGTAGTCCATCATGGAGAGAAGTCATGGCAGGAACTCAAGCAGAGCAGGAACCTGGAGGCAGGAGCTGATGCAGAGGCCATGGTGGAGTGCTGCTTACTGGCTTGCTCCCCATGGCTTGCTCAGCTGCTTTCTTATTAGAACCCTGGACCACCAGCCCTGGGATGACTCCATCCACAAAGGGCTGGACCCTCACCCATCAGTCACTAATTAAGAAAATGTCCTACAGACATTCTTAAAGCCTGATCTTATGGGGGCATTTTCTGAGGTTCCCTCCTCTCCGATGACTCTAGCTTATGTCAAGTTGACATAAAACTATCCAGTGCAGAGGGTGCCCTCAGGCAGCCCTTCCCTCTTCTCCCGAGCCCTGTGGAGAGAAAGAGAGACCCTTGGGGTGGAAGCCAAGATCTGGTGGACCCAGATAGGGCTCCACTTCGAAGCTTGACCTAGTTGAAGTAATTCCACAAGGTAACTCCCAGCCACATGACTTTGGGACAGTTGCTGTGAAGCCTCAGCTCCCCTGTCTGTCAGTGGGAGCTTATGATGATAATTCTTACCCGGAGGATCTGTTTGGAGAAATGAGTTTGTGGAGATGCTGCATGGGCAGAATTCACCCAAGAACTGTGATGGAGTATGTGCTCAGGAAACACCTCCCCTTGTGGCTGCAGGGCGGGGCAATGCTGGTCTGCAGCCTTTTTAGCTTGTTTGTCTTTTTTTGTGGTGATCTTCCCCTGCAGCTATCAAAAGCTTTGGCTCCACTTGAAGCTTCAAATGGGTCCCGGGGATCAAACTCAGTGGTCTGTTCTCGCTCTCCAACATATGGCTTCTAAGGCTCGAATTCCAATGGTCAGGGTTTACAGCAAGCACCTATACCCACTGAGCCGTCCGGCCACGCTGCCTCCCTGCTTTTAGATGCAGGTGTGTATATGATTGGGCGCTAATTCTCTCCTGATTTACCTTCCCTTTTTCTACAGGCCTAGCTCCCTCGCTGCTCTCTCTCTACCAGCATGAGGAAACTATCCAGCCCAGGAACCGCGGCCCACCAGCAGCAGGATTGGCCCAGGCCCGCTGAGTCAGCCCTCCTCCCAGTTCCCTGCTTCTACCCCAGAAAGGACTCAATCCATACTCCTCACCAGCAGCCCACACCCAGGATGGGGCCTCTCTCCTCTGAGTGCCCTCCACAGCCCCCAGCCAGCCTCAGTCCTACCTCAGCCCCCCAACCCTCTGCCTTCACCCATTCAGGGGCTTCTTGGAGTGTTCACAGCTCAGTTACCTCTGGGAGGGGGTGTGTGACCCCTCCCCATCTCCTCTCAGGACTTCCCTTGGGGTTCTCCATAGTTGGTTATCTCACTCTCTCTTTCTCTGACTCTCTTTGCTTTATTTGGAAGAATGAAGGGTTCGGAGAGTCAGGGGTCAGTCTCTGATCCTGGCCCCATGGAGTTTGGACAACCATAATCACGTTTTTCTGTTTGTTTGTTTTTGTGTTTGGTTTTGGTTTTCCGTCACCCTTCTATCGGCTTTACTTTGTCCTTTTCACGGTAACGCATTCAGGTACTCTCCATTGCACAGGGCCCACAGCAACGCGGGACTCTGATCTTCCCCCTCCGCGGTGGCAAAGGTGGGGAGACTCTGGGTCAGACCTCACCCCCAGTGACTTGTGGAGTCTCAGCCTCCCAAACTGCCACCCAGCTCTGCCTGCCCTTTCTGCTCCTGACTTCCTGCTGGCACCAACCTTGCCTGAATAATGACTTCATGTGTGATCTTCCTATTTTAGGGGTAGGCAGCAACTTCTTCCACTCAACAGAGCCATAATCTCTGACCTTCCCTGGATCTAGAATACTTGACTCCTGCCTTCACTGTTTGTAGACTATACAACCACCTCTGGCCTTCCCTGGTGTTAGGCTTTACCACTTTCCATCTTCCCTGGTTCTAGACAACAAGACTCAGGGCCATCCTTGTGTTTAGACCTTGCAGCCCCTGGTCTTAGTTGGTTCTAGAATGTATGCCCTTGGGCCTTCCCTGGTTCTAGAGGCCTGGGGGCTCTCTGGTTCTAGATTTTCCTACTTCCTGGTTCTAAAATGTACAATCCATGGTTTTTCCCTGGCTCTTGGATTCCATACCCCTCATCCATTGCTATTTCTAGACTGTGAGGCCCGTAGCCTTCCTTGGCTCTAGACTATGCTACCATTGGTCTCTGGTTCTAGACTTATGACCTCTGGCCTTCCCTTGTTCTAGACACTGTAGCCTCTGGCCACCATGGTTCTAAACTGTGTTATTTCTGCCGTCTTCCATCCTAGACTGTGCAACCTCTGATCTTCTCTCTTTCTAGTCATTCTAGACATTCTCTGGTCTTTTACCTGATTTGAGACTGTACACTTTATGACCCTACTGCTGTTCTAAACCATGCCACTTCTCTGGCCTTTTATCTCATTCTAGACTATAGGCCCTCTGATCTTCCATGGTTCCAGAGCAGTGGTTCTCAACCTTCCAAATGCTGCAGCCCTTTAACACAGTTCTTCACGTTGTGGTGACGACCCCCAACCATAAAATTATTTCATTGCTACTTCATAACTGTAATTTTGCTACTGTTATGAATCATGTAAATATCTGTTAGGCAGGCTATCTGATATGCAACTCCCAAAGGGGTTGAAAGCCACAGGTTGAGAACCACTGTTCTAGACTATACAACCTGTGACTGTCTTTGATTCTAGGCTATGCTACCTCTGGTCTTCATTGGTTCCAAACTATGTGACTGCTAGCCTTCTCTGTCATTCCCTGGTCCTAGACTGTCCTGTCATTGACTTCCCCCTGGCTCTAGACTGCATCACCTCCAACATGGTCTGCTACAGACCTCAGTTTCTTCAAACCCTTCTAATTCCAGATCTCGTAGTCTTCAGCTCTTTCTTGGACTGGCTCTCACAGCCCCCAATTCTGTCTGTTTTCAAACCTCACAGTGTTTTAAAGTGTGGTTTGAGTTACATAATATGTAAGGCTTTCTGGGTCTAGAGCCTACAACCACCAGAATCTCATCCTGTAGTTTCCTCTGGTTCTAGACTTCTTAAAAATCCCTCTGGTTCCCATCCCCTCTGTTCCCTGTCATTGCAGACTGTTTGTGTGTGTGGTATTGAGGATTAAATCCAGGACTTCCCACCTGCTAAGCAAGCACTCTACCACTGAGCTATATCTTTGTTTTATTTTGAGACAGTATCTTGATCGATTGCTCAGACTAACCTTGAACTCATTCAGTAAACCTAGGCAAGTCTTGAACTTGTGATCCTCCTGCCTTAGCCTCCCAAGTAGCTGGGAATTTCAGGCCTTTGAAACTGAGCCTATTTGATCTTATAACTGACAGTTCCTTCTTGTTTCTAGATCCCACAACTCCAAGCTTCCTGTTGGTTCCAGTCTTTCTGATCCGTAAGATACTTGGTTTCAAATCCAGATCTCATTTCTAGATCATTTTGGTTTCAAACCTCATGATATCTATCTTATTTCTGTTCAGGTTTCTGTACTCAAAAATTCAAGAATTGCTTTCCCCCAATAAGGAGGGGTAAAGCGAGTTATGTCTTGAACTTGGAGCTGGCTCTTCTGGAGCCAGACACCATGTGCCCATTCTCTTGGGTTCTAGATTTCACTACCTCCATCATCCCCAGGTTTTAGATTATGCAAACTCTAGACCTTGAAACTTCCAAGATGCTCTGTTCTCAGATGACCTGATGATCTGCCTATTACTGAGCTTCAAATATCAAGCCAGAGGGTAGTGGTGCACACCTTTAATCCTAGCACTTGGGAAGCAGAGGCAGGTGGTTCTCTTCCAGTACAGCCTGGTCTATAGAGCAAGCTCCAGGACAGCCAGGGCTACACAGAGAAACCCTGTCCTGAAAAAACAAAACAAACCCAAAAGAAAAAAATACCTTCTGGGTTCTGTTACCGTTTTGAGACAGTGTCTCAAAACTCACTGGCCATTAATTTACTATGTAGTCAGGGATGGCTCATGATACTCCTTCACCCACCTCCCAAGTGCTGGGATTACATGCATGCCTAGTTTTATGTGGTGCTGGGGATTGAACCCAGAGCCTCATGCATGCTAGGCAAATACTCTACCAACTGAGCTACACTCAGCCTCTGTAAAGGTCTTCTCATTCTAGACCTTGTCCCATGAGCTCCTTTGGTTCTAGATCCCACAATTACTAAATCCTCCTTGCTTCAGATCTTATGACTGAAATTTCCCTGAATCTAGAGCACATCTTGAAAATATCAGTTGATAATATCTTGCCTTATATATTTCTCTAGTTCTAAACCTTAGAACCCTGACTCTTTCTAATTCTAGATTGTAAGATCCCAGAAATCCCTGTGGATTCTAGAACTTAGTTTTTAGGCTTTTTTTTTTCCAGAGAGGAGGCAGGATTTCACATATCTCAGGATGGCCTCCAGCTCACTATTACACAAGGATGACCTTGAACTTCTGATCCTCTACCCTCCACTTCTCAAATGCTGGAATTGCAAGTGCGCATCATCATACTCACTTTATGTGGTACCAGGGATGAAACTCAGCTTTGTGCATGACAAGCAAGCACTCTTGTCAGCTGAGACACATGTCCTCTCCTAGGCCCTTTCTAATTCTGCCATTACTCGTGAGTCACTGGGGTTCTAGGCTCGTAGTTTCCAATTGCCTCTGGCTTCCCATCTTTCTTCCTCAGGTTCTGGAATGCAGTCTCCAAGTGGGCTTGTTGTAGAATGTCTCCTGTTGTAGAATCTAGAACTCACTCTGTAGATTCTCTTGATCAAGATCTCCCATCCCTTGACTCTTTAGGTCCAAATCTAATCCTTCTAGCTCTGTTCTGGGCTTCCCTACCCTCACTGTGCTTGTCTCGGTTCTTCCCTTGACTCTCAAGTCTTCCCATTCCAAATCATCTGCTCATGAACTTCATGCTCAAGCCCCTCCCTCCTGTCTCATAGCCCCGAAAATTCTCTACCCTAGAACCTCTTTCACTCCTCACCCCAAGCCTCCAGGCATGCACTTAACCTTAACTCTACTCCCAGGTATCTAGGAACCTGGGGCTCCCTCCCCTCCTTAGGGGATCCATAATCCAGCCGCACAGGCACACGCACAGCCCTATCTGCATATCTTGGGGTGGGGAAAGAGGGCAGGACCCCCTCAGCTGTCTCCCACCATCTATGAGTCCTCCTTACCCCTAGCTTCCTTCTACAATGGTGCTACTCTTGGTCTTCCACAGGAAAAGGCTCCCCTCTCTGTCCCATTCATGACTCTAAGGAAGGCACCACACAATCTGTCTTGTCAAGAGGTGGCCTGTCCAGGTGCTACAGGGAAAAGGGTGTGAACCTCTCTCCCCTCATGGGTTTTGTGGGCCCTCAATGGAAGGAACTGTCCTGGCTAGGAGAGAGGAAGGACATGGCCCAGCCATGCTGGCTCAGAAACCCAAAACTGTCTCCAAAACCACCATAAAGACCTCGCCTTGGTAGGCACCAGACAGACGTGTGTGGACTCATCTGTGGGGTCACTTTGGAGGGTGTGGGCGCACTGTGTAGAGCTGGTATCCATTGTCTGTTTGTGGACAATGAGACAGAGTCTATTGTAGGCCAGGCTAGCCTCAAACTTGTAGCCAAGGATAACCTTCAACTTCGATCCATCTGCCTCCACTTCTTAAGTGCTGGAATAACAGGGGCGTACTACTACATTTGGCTTCCATGTTACTTTATGATTCCTGTGTGTGTGTGTGTGTGTGTGTGTGTGTGTGTGTGTGTGTGTGTGTGTGTGAGAGTTGGGGTATGCGTGCATGCCATTATATGTGGACATCAAGGACGACTTGCAGGAGTTGGTTCTTGCCTTCCACCATGTGGGTCCTGAGCATCACGCTCTCAGGTCATCAGGCTTGGTGGCCGAATCTTTACTTGCTGACACTCCTGGAAGCCTGTGGAGTTTGTTTGTTTAATTCGGGATCTTATTTATCCCTGTCCAGGCTTTGACGCACTATGTAGCCAAGAACTTCTGATCGTCCTGCCTTTATCTCCCTAGTGCTGGGATTACAGGCATGCTTCACCATACCTGTTTTATCTGGTCCTGGGGATTGAACCTGGGAGCTTGTTGCATGCTAGTCAAGCACTCTACCAGTTGATCTACATCTCCAGCCTGGCACTGTGGTTTCTTTTTCAATGTCTGTGTGATGTTGTGATACTGCATATGTGTGTGGGACTGTTTAGTGCAGTAATTCCAGAAGAGTGAGTGAGTGTGTGTCTGTGTCTGTGTGTGTGTGTCTGCGTGGGAGATTCTAAGTCTGCAGATTCCTGTGTAGGAGGGTGTGTCTGTTCTGTTTCGTCTCTGTACATGTCACTCTTCTATCCCTCTCCCTTGTTCCTCGCAGGCAGGAAAACCACTTTGAAGTGGTTGCATTTGCTGTGCCTTCTGCTTTAAATGTCCTTCCTGAGGATGTACCTCGGTTGGTAAAGTGATTGCCTAGCATGCATCAAGGCCTGGGTTCCACCCCCAGCATCACATCAAACAGGGCTTGATGGCACGACCTTTAGCGCCAGCACTCACACTGAAGGTGGGAGGGTTAGGAGTTCAAGGGAATCCTACAGGCTGAGTTTAAGGCCAGCTGAGGCTACATGAGACCCTGTCTTTAAATAAATAAATAAATAAATACCTTTCCCCCTCTGCCCTCATTTGCCCACCTAACTCATACTTCAGATCTCTGGTCTAACACTCCTCCAGGAAGCCATTCTTGCATCTCCCAGTTGGACAAGGTCCTTCTAACCCCCTGAAAGTCCCCTCATTCCAGCAATATTCACCCTGTCAAACTCCAGACTACCTGTACAGGACTCAATATGGAGCATCCTTCTGTTCGCCTCCCATTCAAACACTGTAACTCATATGAACTTTTGGTTTGGTTGGAGTTTTCTAGCTGGGAAAAAAAAGAGAGAGAGAGAGACTAAAACAGGGTCTGACTCTATCTATTACCCAGGCTGACCTGGAACTCACTAAATAGCTCAAGCTGGCCTCAAACTCATGGCAATCCTTCTCCCTCCGCCTCTCAAATGCAGGGACTGCAAGTGTAAGCCACCAGGCCAGGCTTTTCTTAAACCTCTGCATTTATATTTGGGCACCATGACTATCTCCTCTTTAGAGAGGAAATAATAGAAAGGGTGATGCCTTGCCCAAGGTCATATAGTCTCAGGAAAAGTCTGAGCTGGATTCAAATGTATTAGAACAGATAACTGCCTCGAAGGAAAAAGAAAAAAGAAAATTCACTATCTTACATGATTCCACCGGCACAGACAGAGGCAGTCAAATAGGAACCTAGTGTCCAGGAATTAGATTCAGATTCTGACTTTCAGTGAGACTTTTCAGGAGTTTATTGAGTCCTGTGAACCTCAGTGTCTTTACATGTAAAATGGACATGATACCAATTCCTACTTTCCAGGGTGATTGTTGGTTGTGGTCAGGGGTGGAGGTGGGGTCAAGCTGATACAAAGCCTTTAAAGCACTTACAGAGTCTAGCCTGAGAAGGAGTTAAAGAAGCTAGAGCAGGAAGATACACTGCCTTAGGTGGAGTTCTAAAGGGAGCAGTGCGGTCTGGAGATGTTGCTAGAGGCCAGACTAGTCACGGCTTCTCATCAGAGAGGGTTTAGATTTTCTCCTAAGAGAGCTGGGGAGCCACGGAAGGCTGGGGCGGGTGCCAGCCTTACAGTGTTCCAGCAAGATGCCTCTGACTGCCATATGGAAGGTAAACAGGAGGAGGGAGGAGGGACGCAGCACCAGAGGAGGTTGATGCTGTGATCCAGGCAAGGGAAACGCAGACAGCAACCCGAGTGTCATTTAAGAGATTACGTTGGTGTGGTTGGTTGTGTTTGTGGCAGGGTCTCATGTATCCCAGTCTGGCTTTGAAATTCCGATCCTCATGCCTCCACCTACCAAGTGTTCAGATTACAGAGGTGCATCTTTCAGCCTGGTGTTATGTGGCGCTGGGGATGGAACGCAAGCCTGGAGCATGCTAGACAAGTACTCGACCACATGGGCTACATCTCTGGTCCTTTAAAAGATTTTGCTGGGGCCTGACATGATGCTGAAAGCCTTTAATCCCAACACTTGGGAGGCAGAGGCAGGTTGATGATCCCTGTTGAGTTCAAGGCCAGCCTGGTCTACTAGCAAGTTCCAGGCCAGCCAGGACTACATAGTGAGACCCTGTCTCACAAAAATAAAAAATTATTTAAAAAAAAAATTCTGTTGAACCTAGAACAAACAAGATACAATTGATACTTGCTCAAGACTTGGAAATCAGGATGCCCTGTTAATAATCCAGAAAAACTGATTTGCCAAGGTTCAGGCTTTATTTGGTTTCCTTGAGGAACATTTTCCAGAAGGGTCATTGGGGCGACAGGAGGAAGACTTGTTCAAGGTCACAAGAGTAACGGGCAGCACCCAACTCTGGAGCAGGTTCCCGGTGGGGCAGGGTGCGGCACAAAAGCAGCTCCACCCGCCGGAGGCATCGCAACCCAATCGCCAAGCCTAAAGGAATCCCGACTCTCTTAAGACCCAAGAAACTTCAGCTTCCTCAGAACTCTACAACTTTGGGAGCCGGCGCCCTCCGGGCCACCCCCAGACCCCCAGCACTCCCTCTCTCCTCTTTCTGATTGGCTCCTTCTACGAGGGGCGTCTGGATACCCGCTGGTCACCTTGTCCTCCGGGCGCTCTACGGCGGGCGGAGGGGGTGGGGGTGGGGGGGGGAGCGCCGCGCAGGCGCGGCAGGCGAGCCTTTGGGGCCCGCGCTTTACGACACTTGTGCGGCAGCGGCGGCGGTCACTCGGCGCTCCTTCGCGACGGTTCGGCCCGGTGCCGCGAGCGGCCGTTGCCAGGGTGGGGGTCGCTTTGCGGCATGGCGATGGCGGAGGGCGAGCGGACGGAGTGTGCTGAGCACCCCCGAGACGAACCCCCGGCCGATGGCACTCTGAAGCGGGCAGAGGAGCTCAAGACGCAGGCCAACGACTACTTCAAAGGTGCGTCCGGCCGGGACGGGGGTGAGGGAGGGTGGACAGCGGCCCAGGCCGTGGGGGGGTGCCAGGCCCCGCGGGGAACCATGGCAACGCGGAGCGGTAGCCTGGGCGCCGGGCAGGCACTATCGAGTAGCCCGGCGCGAGGAGGAGGAGGCCCGGGCTGGAGGCCAGACTGGGGAGAGCTACTGCGAAGTGGAGTCCGGAGCAGAAGCCGCTCTCTGGGGAGACGGAGGCAGGCTCCGCTAAACGATAGGGGACGAGCGGGGGACCGACATGTGTGAGTGCTGCCAAATGTGAGACCTGGACAGACGTGCTAGGTGGAGGTCAGACCTGAAGGGGGCGCTGCCAAATAGTGACATGTGTTTAGTTAGGGCAGTGATGGCGCTGCCGAGCGGGGAGACCTGAGGGTGAGCAGGACCAACTGTGAGGAGGGAAGGGCCCAACAGAGAAGGGAATCGTGGGGATGCAAGTAGATTAGATTGGAAGGCGATTGGGGGTGATTCGAGGAAAGGGATAGGGGGTAGGGGTGGAGCGGGAAAGAAGAGCGTGATCTTGGGTTAAGAGTGAGATGTGGGAACATGTGTCCATTCATTCATTCATTCCTTGAGTACATTTGTGTTAACTGTCATGGGCCACCGTCAGTGCTTAGCTCTGAGGCTGTACCAATGAATGAGACACATGACTTGGATTCAAGCAGAACCGATAATTGCCAACTTGTGATCAAGGTGACCAAGTAGCGAATGCAGGTTAGTCGGCTTTAGATAGTGGGGTCAGGGAATGCCTGGAGAAAGGCTTTTTTTTTTTTAACACGTGGGTCAGTTGACCTAACGCAAAGACCCTGGGGGTGGAGAATGAATGAAAACAGACTGACTTAGTTGGAGCTTGAGCAAGCCGGGTGTGGGAGGGGAAGACCCAGTACAAGATGACATTAGGATAAGGGGCGCCAGGTCAGGCAGAATCTCTGAGGTCATTACAAAGACTAGTTTGGGTTTCCTCAGCTGTCCAAAAAGAGACATTGAGTAGTAGGTCGGTGGGCCAGTCTGGACTGGAGAAAATCTTGGGTGTGCCCAGCCTATGACTGGAGGTGCCCTGGGAATGGATGAAATCACCCGCCAGTGGGATCTCAGAGAACCTAGAATGGAATTTTCATGTGTAAATCGGAAAAGGAGCTGCTGAGGCAAAGTGAGATGAAAGGAAACCAGGAAAGGGGCCGCAGGCTAAGAGAGGAAGGTTCTTCCAGAAAGAAAGCCATAGCCTCAGGCGTTGACCAGCAGCGGTCTGAGGAGGTGATGTTGACAGAGCAGTAGTGAACATAAAGCTGACCCAGAAGACCCTGAGGGGTGAATGCAAGCGAGGAACTGGACACCCATGGGGCAGGTGTCTCAGTTCCCAAGGGGAGTGGAGGATTGGGGGGGGTGGCAGGAGGGAGTAGGTGGGGTCCCTAGGAATGCTATTTCAGTTATGGCCCAGAAGAGATACA